TCTGAGCCATGTTAAGCTCCTCTTTACTGTTGCAGAATTGCTGAGTCAGGGTTTGGACTTCAGCTCTGGCTGCATGCAGATGGCCTTCTAAGGCCTTAGATCTGGTGTCTCTCTCGTTTAGTTCCACATATGCTGTTTTTAACAGTGACTTTGTGTGAAACAGTTCTCTTTCCAAGTCCTGTCTGATGTCTTTTCCAGCTGCGCTTGGTGTCCAGCAGCTGTTAGAGCCTCTTGAAGACTGGTGATTTCCTTCTGTTGCACCATTCTTTGAGGTTCTTTGCATCCGTTCTGTGCTTTCTCTCGTTGAGCAGGTGTCAGTTCTCTGTAGAACTCTGTGACTTGCAGTTTCAGCTCATTTACCTCCTGTCTGAGGCCCTTGAGGGTGTGGGCCGAGGAGAGGATGATGCTGGTCAGGTCCTGGTGGTTCAGGCTGGGTGTCAGGTGTCCACTTGTGTCGCAGTCTCGCTGTTCCTTTCTCTGCCATTGCAGGTCGTTGGCTGCTTTGAGCTGAAGGATGTCCATTACAGTGGTCTGCTGGATTTCCAGGTGGTCCTGGTGAGCTGGCAGGGCTGAATGTCTGTGGAATGTCTGCGACATACTGGCACACTTGTGGGAACACCAGAGAGAGAGAGAGGCACAAGGCAAATGCAAGTACGTACAGAGGTGTTAAGCTATCTCTATGGGGAACGGCTGTGTAGGCCATGCAAGGTATGAATAGCTGGTGAGAGGCAGCTAGTGAGGTAGGGTGCTATGTTTTTGTGTTCGTGAACACAAAGAGCCAGTTTGAGTAACTTTGTTGAGGGGGCTGTAAGCAGGGGTCAGCTGATGACCGGGCTATACATGTGGTCAAACTATTACTCAAAGCACTGATGGTTCACGGGTTTGGGCACTATGACAAAACTGAAATAAAATAAGATGAAATCAAAAAAGAAAAGGAAGAAGGAAGATTTTACCTATTTAGTTTTTTTTTTGCTATGAGATATGGCTAAGCAAGTGTCACTTGTGGGTGATGTTGCAATAGACTGAAGATGGTGATGGTAAAATTAAAATAAGATAAAAGTAAAACGAAAAGGTCCTAATAGCTGTAGGAAACTAAAAGGTAAAGTAAATAAACAAATTGATTTAATTAAATCTCAGATTTAATAAAAATCACTTTAGCTGAATTGGTACATTCATGCTAAACAAATGTAAATAAATGCAATAAAATCAAAGAGAGGTAAAATAAAGTCAAAACAAAAATAAACAATAACACAAATAAAATCAAAGTATGTGGGGAGGGACTGACCTAACTGAATCCAAAGAGAAGATGATAGCATAAACAGGAAGTGAAACCAGGAGTGACAGGGATAGAGAGAGAGAGAGCGAGAGAGAGGAGTGGTTTGAAAGTTACACTTTACACACACCTATCTAAGTGTTAGTCAGATGCTAACAGCTAGCAGGTAAAGGGCTTAGCTTAAATGCCTGTGCGGCTGCTAAAGAGTTAGCGTTGGCTACACGCAGTTCTTTGTTTACACACAGGTCTGTGAAGTGGGGCTGTTGTCAGATTAACCGGAAGAGTCTGCTCACACTTCCGGGGTCACGTGTTGCTAGGAGACCAATGCA